ATAGAGTCTCTAAGAAAGGAGGTTTTGGACAGAAGGGCCTGGAGAGAAAAGTACACTTTAGTCCTAAATTTAGAAGGTAGAAGAGGTAGTTTTGGTAGGGGCACCTGAATGGTGTTGCAGGGGAGGTTGCTTATGAACAGGAGGGAAGATGGGTCTGTACTTCTAGCCTAGTGGCCTCAATGTGCCTTTTCTTCTAGAGTTTCCAACTGAATGCAGAAAAAAATTGTTTTATCAGTGATTTGAGAAGTCTTGGTGCTGAGACCTCAGCCACTAGCCCCCTGCTGGACAGGGACTGCTGGTGGTTGACCATGGCAGGAAGTGGCCAGAGGAGAACGGTAGATATTGATAAGGTCTGGGAAACCATCTAGGAATAGGAGAGGGAGGAGAGCCAAGAGGATCAAAGAGAAAGCCAACAGAAGGCAGGGTTTAAAACAAATAATATTGTCATCATCTTAATAGCTAATATTTATATAATGCTCACTATATTTGAGACACATGTTAAGTGCTTCACATATTATGCTCATCAAATTCTCATAAAAGCCTATGCGGCAGATACCATTATTATCCCCATTTTATAGATGAAGGAGCCAAAGCACAGAGAGTTTAAGTAACTTGCCCAAAGTCACACAGCAAGCAGCTAGCGCAGGAAGCTCAAGAGTAGGCTCTTCATCAGACGATATGTTCAACGGAAGCTCCATATTTAAAACAGACCAAAGAGTAGCTGCTCTGACTGGTTGCGGGACCAGGGTGGAAATCCCAGGCCACTCAGTGGTGGTTAAGTGTGGGTAGAGACATGTTATTTGCCAGGTTGAAGACTGCTGAATAGGGCATGTAACTGAGGGCCAAAGGGAGTGAGGACAGGACAATGCCTGCAAGAGAAGGATCTTGTTTCCCACTTCCCAGAAGTGGGAGGAGCTTCCCATGGCCTGCAGAGCACTGGGGAGGAGAGAGAGGAAGGAGCCAGGTGTGAGGTTGCAGGTGATGGTGAGGATTGGGGGAGCTGTAGGGAGAAAAGTACTGGCTGGGAGGCACCCGAGAGCGTCTGGGAGTGAGATGAAGACAGATTTCACTCTTCCTTAACCTGAGGGGTCATTATGGTGACAGGAAGTCACAGGGCACATACGTGGATGTTTTCTGAGAACCTCTTTCTCCTGGGTGCTGCAATGGGAAAGGGGCGGGGACAGAGTCTATGAAGACTGAATAAATTTTCCTGTGTTGAATGGACACAAAATCCAAGGAAAGAGAACTGCTCTTCTGGAATCCCTCTCCCTTCACCCCAAAAGCAGCCCAGACCTTTCCTCCCAGGATCACCTCCATCGTAAATGTTAACAGATTAAACAGACAAACGGATAATAGAGAGAGGTAGGAACTTGAAATAGAGGCTTGTGGCATTTTAGAGCTGAAAGGAGCTTAGGCTACCATCCACACCAGCAGAGCCAGAGAAGAGCAATGTCATGCCACATTCACAGGACTGGCCGGGGTGAGGACATGGATCAAAAGAGATATAGAGAGAAAGGTATGGAAAACTACAGACTTAGGTTCATCTCACTTGAACAAAAACTAAGAATCTAAACATTCATTAACCTTATGTAAACTATGGCCTTTACTTAATGCATCAATATTGGCCCATCAATTGTAACAAATGCTCCACATCAATGCAAGATGTTAATAATGGGACAAACTGGTGTGGAGATGACAGGGTAGATGGAAATCTTTGTATTTTATGCTCATTTTCTGTAAACGTAAAACTGCCCTACAAAATAAAATATATTACTTTTTTTCCAAAGTTCATTAATGTGGGTTCTGTTTGCAGTTTTTCATTCACTGACCCCACACTTTTTGGAGGGCAGATTCTAGACAATGCAAAGAGCATGTGAGCATGGGCTCTTATAAGGGAATAGAAAACCAACCACCCGTTGAAAATCAAGTTCCTTCTCTTTTACAGAGAATCGAAGTAGCCCTCCAGTTCAAACACTCATCTGAAGATTGATCAAAAATGGGAACTGTTGACCAGGCATAGTGGCTCACATCTGTAATCCCAGCACTTTGGGATTAAACTGGGAGGATAACTTGAGCTCAGGAGATCGAGACCAGCCTGGGCAATATAACAAAACCCTGTTGCTACAAAAAATAAAAAAATAAAAAAATTAGCCAGGCATCATGGCACACACACCTGTGGTCCCAGCTACTTGGAAGGCTGACGTGAAAGGATGGCTTGGGTCCAGGAGGTTGAGGCTGCAGTGAACCGTGATTGTGCCACTACACTCAAGAAAAAAAAAATCCCCTTTACAATTCATACCTAAAGGAAATACGTCAATTAGATGGTTGGTCCACAGTCAGAGAACAGATTCTTTAAGAGACAAAGAGGTAAAAGAAATAAATAGATAAGAGAAAAGAAGGCGTGGGAGGGGGGAAGAAAAGGGTGAAAGAAGGGTAGAAAGGGAAGAGGAAAATAAGAGAAAAAGGAGAGAGAACGAGGCAAGTTGGTGAGAGCTAGATAGATAACTGATAGTGTCTCCTATCTTGTACAAAGACAGAGGCCTGGAGAGGCTTCCTCTGATATGCCCTGGGTATGCACCAAAATAAACACCCAGCACGAGTAAGGTGTAGTTAGCAATGCAGTTCATTTTTATTAGTTATAAATAAAGTACAAAAAATCCACCAAAAGTGAATCTAAGCATTTACACAATTCCTAATGTCTCCGCCTTTTCATTGATGCACTATTGCTTTAATATTCATAATAAATATTCTTCTAGCTTTCTGCTATAAAATAGTCTATGTAGCAAAATGTTGCACAGCACAACAGAACAGAACAGCAGGAGGATTACAAAAAAGGACAATCAACACTGAGGATAATCCTTTCACTTACCAGTGGCAACCAAATTACCCCCTCAAGGGCTGGTGCGGCTGGCTCCATGGCTGAGAAATGAGCCGCATCCGAGGCCAGGGGTGGAGTGGGAGCAGAGGCTCAAAGGTGAGGGCACAGGCCAGCCAGGGCAAAGGGCCCCTTTCCTCTCTGACCCTGCAGAGCAGCATAAGGCATGCCCGTCCAGGAGCCCTGCCAAGGACGTGGTGTCTGCCAGGCCCAGCAGTGTGGTGGTCATGCTCCCTCCAGTGTGGTGGGGGACTCCATGGGCTGTCTCCAGGGAAAGCAAGGCTCCAGGCTGGAGGCAAAAGGGGAAGCTAGGCAGGAAGCCCAGAGGGGCATCCATCGCTCAGCTAGGGCAGAGTTGAGGCTTTGGGGACCATACACAGCCCGGTGCTCACACAGCCTCGCTGGGCAGTATGGCAAATCTCGGTCTCCACTTCCTCCCTCCACATCAGCACCTTCCCCATGGGGCCTCATCCCCACCAGGTAAAGGCAATGATGTAAAGAGGCAAGAAGGAGGATAAGCTGAGAAGGAGGGGAGGGAGAAGCAGCAGCAGAAAAGCAGACAGGCCAGGTCCCAGCTGACTCAGGGGGCTACTCTCAGTGGCGTGAACTCCCTCTCTCTCCTTTTGGCTCAGAGGTATCAGGCTCACAGCTGTGCCAGCCTTTGACGGTGGCTTCTCCACGTCCTCCCCCATTATTCCTCTACAGGGGCAGGGGGACTGGAGGCCCACTCCCAGTCCTCCATAGAAGCTCCTCCTGCCCACAGCCCCCAGGGAGCAAAGACAGAGGGAGACGGACAGAGGAAATGCTGGGAGCAGAGACCTTGATTCCAAAATCTATGTCCCAATCTGTTTTCCATGGGAAGTATCTCAACAATGAAGGCTCTGGGAGATGACAGGATGGGGGTGCCAGTCCCAAACCCATAGATTGGGGCTCCTTTCTGCCTACCCCATCCCTGTGTCTAACAAGACATGGATTTCAGCTCACTCTCCAAATGACTGCCCAAGCCTTGTGAAAGGGCATGTCCCATGCATGTTCACCTAACTCACCTCCCTGTCACCCACAGGATACCACATATAACAGGACAGAAACCCTCCCAGAAATCAACTCTGAGCAAGCTCAGATAAATTCTCAGCTCACTCTCTCTATTCTTCTCTTCCTTCCTCTCCTTTTCTCCTCCCAATCCTTTCTCCCTCTTTTTTTTTTTTTTTTTTTTTTTTTTTTTTTTTTTTGAGACCGAGTTTCACTCTTGTCACCCGGGCTGGAGTGTCCCGCCTCAGCCTCCCGAGTAGCTGGGATTACAGGCGCCCACCACCACACCCGGCTAATTTTTGCCTTTTTAGTAGAGACAGGGTTTCACCATGTTGGCCAGGCTGGTCTCAATCTCCTGACCTCAAGTGATCTGCCCACCTCAGCCTCACAAATTGCTGGGATTACAGGTGTGAGCCACCGCGCCCAGCCTTTTCTCCCTCTTTCTTCTCTCCTGAGAAGGTGAGACAGCACAGCACAGTGGTTTCCCACGGGATCTCTGTCATATTCTACTTGAATCCAAGGGACCCTAAAGATCTCCCAGTTCTCCTCACTCACCCCACCCAGAAAACTGAGACTCAGGGGCCAAGGGACTTGCTCAGGGTCACTGGGATGTCTATCATGGAGCAGATCTGAAAACCTGAGCCTCTCAGCTCCCCAGTCCAGGGCTCGTTCCAAGAAACCAGGCTTTTTGGCTCTCTGATATTCCTCTTGTAAGGTCTGGAGGACTCCAATTCTGGAGTTGGAGGCCAGGTGGAGAGAGTGACCCCTATGCCCCAAGACTTTCCTCAGAGGATAGCGGCTGGGTGGGCTGAGGTTGTGGGAGGAGCGAGGGAGTAGGAAAGGCAAGTTCATGCTGGAGAGGTGGGGTTGTGGGGAGAGGGGGGTGCCAAGGATAGCAAGTGAAAGGATTACCCCAGTCTGCTGACAAGTGCAAATTATATTTATATATGTGCTAAATACAGTCACTATATTGGAGTTTTTCACTAGATCACAGCATACAGAATCAAAGGTTTGCATTTCGTATGGAATGTATCCAAAGAGGCCAGCACCACGGTAGGACAGCTTGCAATCACACACCCTGATAGTTTGGACGAAATAAAGTTTGCAGAATTTTATTTAAATTTTTTTTTGTATTCGTAGTTGTTTGTCATCGTACCAATGCATGCAAAGCATTCCACTCCCAGAAACAACGCCAAAATGAGGTAATAGGAGTAATAAAAAAAATTAGTATCCTTTCTAAATAAATAAATTATAATTAAAAATGCAAAACAACTATAAAAATAATTAAATAAGAACCCACGATATCTACAAGTTAGTCATAAATTATGATTGTTAAATATAAGGCATTTAAACTCACAAAACCCTGTAAACTAGCAACGTGCCATGTTTTTTGTTTTTTGTATTTTTTTTTCATTTTTGTTTTTCTATCAGCTGAAATCGCTCTAGCATTTGCTCTACGCGCGCAGGAGATGAAACACAAGGGGGCCTGACGGACGTTGCTACAGCCCCACGCAGGGAGTGTTCGTCCCACCGGCAGGCGGGGGGCTTAGGGGATTTCTTTAGGAAAAAAAGAAAAAAAGTCTGGTGCTTTTTTCTTCACCATTGAAAAAACTGTGCTTGTTCATTAGGCGTAAAGAGTTAAGAATACTTGCACGGAGGCTGGGAACATTTGCAGAAGAGGAGCTTGAGTCCTGCCACAGGTGGTGGCCAAGGGCGACAGGGGGCCGAAGGGGGTCCTGGCCAGGTGGAGGGGCAGCCCCTGCTCACCCTCTGCTTGCACCCAGCCAGGCTTGTGGTGTTGGGTTGATTGATTGGCATCCTCGGTGGACCCGCGGCGGCACAGCTGCGGCAGCGGCTAGGACGCCCAACTTAAACCCTGGGGCTGCTCTCACCCCAGAAGGCACTCATGCGTCTCAGTCAAGAAAGGGTCTGAGTCCCTTGAGTTGAGCAGGAGGAGGACTTACCAGTGGTCTCCCCTCCTGGAGGTGGTGGATGTGAGATGCTGAGGCCTGACCCTGCCTCATCTCCACTCTTCCCAGACTCCCTGACCAGTGCCAGGAGCAGAAGCACAGACCCCGGCCCTCTCTTCTCCCCCAAACAGCTGCCAGGCTAAAGAAGTGGGAGCTGCAGGGTTCTGAGTGCCCCATCACCTCCTGTCCCCACCTGCAGTGGACAAGGTCCCCAGAGATGGGAAGAAGCGGGGGCTTCAGGGTCTAACCCCAAAGTAAGCAGCTTCCCTCTTACTTCTGGTGGTCCCCTCCCCAGTCCCTAATATTAGCCTGGGGCAGAGAATTGGGAGGGGGAGGGGACCAGGGCCCACTGTCTCACTCAGTATGTGTGCCCCCAGCCCAGTCTGAAACAGAGTGTGTGCCCACAGAAAGTCCTTTTCAACAGTTGGGTGGGCACACAGCTCTGCCACCTTGAAGAAGATGCGTTGATGTTAGGGAGGATCACAAAGTGTGAGTGTCAGAAGAAAATTAGCAAGCATCCAATCCAACCTCCTTAGGTTGTAACTGAGGAAACTGAGGCCCAGAGAGACAAAGGGAAGTTTCTAGTGTTGCCCACTTTGTCAGTGAAGAGCCTAGACTGGAACCTGGGACACCAGCTCTAGTTCTATCCTGGCCTCTCCATTGACTCCCTCCCACTTGCCAGCCTTTCAGGCCAGTCTCAGCAGAAAGAATGAAATACTGAGATTAAGAGGGGAATGACCTTCCTAGACCACCCTAGCTACCTCCAGGCCAAAGCCATCTTCCGATGAATTCTTGGTTTTCACCCAGCCATTGGAGAGGATGGGGCAGAATTCTCAACTTCCTGTGGCTATCAGTAACTAGCTTTCCCCCAAAATCCTGACTCAGATGTACTTTCCCCACTGGTGGGATCTCCAGCCTTCAGCTCTGGAGACATTTTCATGCACTGGAGCTACTGAGTTGGACACTGTGATGCTCATTGCTGCTAACACTGAATCAGGTTATTCACCATTTTGGCAGCATTGGATGTGTCTCATCTCCTCAGCTAGATTGCGAGCTCCTCAAAGCTACTGTCTCTCCCAGCGCCTGCACCGGTAGGCACTCAATAAAGATTTTATAGAACACCAAGATATTAGTGCTGGGAGAAACCTCCCACCAGGAGCCACTTCCCCAACTCTCTGCCTGCAGGTGGCCAGAGCAGCCATTCCCGCATGAACCTATCGTGCTAGAAGCTCTTCCTCAAGCTAAGATCTGCCCGCCTGTTACTTTTACCCATTGGTACTGGTTTTACCCTTGTAGCAGCAATACAGACTCAAATTTCCTTCACTGTATGGAATTTCTTCAAATACGTGACAAGTATCCTGTCCCCCTCACCCGGGTCCTACTGATATGAGGGCATTGAGACTGGGTTAGGGATGGAGGTGAGGGGGAGACTTAGAGAGCAGTGCAAATGGGGGAACGGTGCGGGGTGGGGCACAAAGGAAGGTGGCAGAATTCCAGCTAATCTGGTGTCTTCCACATAGGGAGAAAGAAAGTTGGGTTTGGATTGGAATTTGGTGGATTTTCCCATCTCCATTCTTCTGTCCTCTTATCTCTCTGCTCCCTTTGGGGTTCAGGAAAATTGTGAGGTGGTGCAGAAAGACACACTGTATCAGGTCTGTGTCTCCCAGTACCCCCCTCCCGACACCCCACGAGCTTCTCAGAAGAGAGCATAGAACACACTGAACAGAGAATACGAATCCTCACAACATCTAGGTGAGGTAGCAGGACCAGAAATGGGTTTGCACTGTTATCTCTCCCCACTCAAAGGAGAAGGAAACTGAGGCACAGAAAAAGAAAGGGACTTGCCCAAGATTATCAAAGAGTCAGAGAAGGAGCCAGAGACCAGGGACACGGGGCCTCCCAAACCAAGTTGAGGGGCCTCCCAAACCCAGCTGATGTGGCCTCAGAGTCAGGGCCATCTCTGAGGGACTGTATCAGAACTGGAGACATCCCAGGGGATGCTCAGCTTCCTCCCCAAGGTCCGCGGTATTGACCTCAGCCCTGAGTGCTGTCTGAGAGCACTGTGGCCAAGACAAAGGGGCCATCACCTATGCTGTCTTATCTGCATCATCTGGTTAATTTTTTGCATAGGGAGGCAGTGGCTATGTTGCCTCTTTGTGACAGGCAAGAGCACAACCTAAAGGAAGGAGTTGGAGTGAGCATGGGCCTCTCCACTCCCAGTAACACAGCGAGAAGCTGTAGCTGAGGGCTGAGCCCTCCCTGGTTTAGTGTGGAACTGGGTGGGGGTTATAACTGGGGTCATGCAGTTGAGCCCTGGGCCTGGGGAGCCCCGCCTAGCTGAACTCTCCCTTCACCTACTGGAGCTCTGCTGCCTTCCCTCACCTCGGCTGAACCCTCAGAGGCTGGAATAAGACCCCATCAGCTCCTTTTCCAGCTCTCCCTCTCCCAGACTCCCTTCTACACTCCGTGCACTGTAAACATGAGAAAAACAAAAGCCAAGGTAAAAACAAAAACAAAAACGAAACGAGAACCCCCCTCCCGCCTCCCAAATTGGGTGAAAAACAAAATCCTTTTTCACCCTAAACAGAATTTGGCTTTTTTTTCTTCTACCTTTGATTCCTTTTTCCTTTTCTCTCATAAAGACGGGAAGATTGGGGCTGTCGTTGGTTCGGTCAGGCACCAAAACAAGAAACTCAATGAGAAATATTTGGTGCGAATTCGGTAATAGCGACATGTCCACCACAAGATGACTAGAGCACCACACACAACATTTTTCTTAAGCTAACATGCTCTGGCTGCCATCCACAGAAATAGCTAGAGACCCCTACATGGTTCCTACATGGTCGAGAGGTATATATACAATCCTTCAGAGGACAGGATTGAGGGGCCCGTCTGTCAGCTAGTGCCTTCAGGATCCCACCTGGGTTCTCCGCAGCCTGGGCCCCTCCTTCCCGCCCTTGCGCTGGGCACGGCCAGCTCCCTCTCTCCTGCTCAGCTGGGCGGATGGGGACAGTCACCATTCTGGAGAGGTGGGTCCTCCCCCACCCCCTCCTCTCCCTCGACACCGATACCACCAACTCCTCTTTCCACAAAATGTGCTTGCAGGCTTTTCCTCTACGTCAAATGGCTCAGAAGGCAAAGTTTGGCTGCAAGGGCTATGGCCGTGGGGGGACCTGGTGAAGGAAATGGGGTGTCCACTGGCTAATTCCTCCCTCAGCTGTCGGCTCCCAGTTGTGTCTCAATGTCCACTCGGCAGATGGGGCATTTCTTGCTCATGGCGAGCCACTGGTCCACGCACAGTTGGTGAAAGAGATGCATACAGGGTAGGCGTCTGGAAGAGAGGAGGGAGAGTCAGGGGCCCTGCAGGAGCTGAGGGACACTGGGCAGACCAGGAGACACACACCTAGGACCCCTGGGAACTGCCCGGCTATGGAGGGAGGCTATGGCTGAGATGGGAAACCATGAAGCCTCCGCCAGAAAGCGCTTTCAGATGAGCCTGAAACAAAGCCACAATTTTGTCTCAGACTCATTCAGACAGAACATCACACTGTTCTCTTACACTTTTCATCCTCGCGTCCATACCCGGTCATCACACATCTAGAACATTTCATACCCTACCTTCCCAGGGCAACCATGAAGCACATTATAGCACACTTGGCACACACGTGCACAAGCAAACAAGCACCCCAACTCCCAGACACACGGCGCAGTGATTGGTCACCAATACCTGTAAGAGAGGGGAGAGGGAATCAAAATGGCGGTCTCCTACCTCACATCTTCTCCATCTTCCAGCATAGACAGACAAATTGTGCATTTCTCATCTGTGTCTGACTCCTCCCCCTCATCCTTCTTGCCCTTGCCATCCTGGGGTCTTCGCTATGAGAAGCAGAGAGAGGAGTATTCATTACCTGGGCAGACTCACCTGGTGGCTGTTGGCTTTCACCCACAGGCTGCTTTTCCCCTGGGAGTCAGGTGTTTTAAAGTTTGTTTTTGTTTTTGAAACGGATTCTTGCTGTGTTGCCCAGGCTGGAGTGCAACAGCATGATCTTGGCTCACTGCAACTTCCACCTCCTGGGTTCAAGCGATTCTCCCACCTCAGCCTCCCAAGTAGCTGGGATTACAGGCACCTGCCATCATGCCTGGCTAATTTTTGTATTTTTGTAGAGACAGGGTTTCACCATGTTGGTCAGGTCTTGAATTCCTGAGCTCAGGTGGTCTGCCTGCCTTGGCCTTCCAAAGTGCTGGGATTACAGGTGTGAGCCACCATGCCTGGCCATAAAGTTCTTTTTTTTTTTTTTTTTTTTTGAGACGGAGTCTCGCTCTGCCGCCCAGGCTGGAGTGCAGTGGCGCGATCTCGGCTCACTGCAAGCTCCGCCTCACGGGTTCACGCCATTCTCCTGCCTCAGCCTCCCGAGTAGCTGGGACTACAGGAGCCCGCCACCTCGCCTGGCTAATTTTTTTGTATTTTTAGTAGAGACGGGGTTTCACCATGTTAGCCAGGATGGTCTCGATCTCCTGACCTTGTGATCCGCCCGCCTCGGCCTCCCAAAGTGCTGGGATTACAGGCGTGAGCCACTGCGCCCGGCCAAAGTTCTTAAGTAATACCCAGAACTCCTTCCCGCCTACTCTTCTGCAGCAAGGGGAGTAGGAAGAGGTCAAGTGGACATCATTTTTGCTGTCCCAGGCACTTTCTAGGGATACAGAGCTTAGAAAGAAATTGAGTTCCTAACGAATCGATCCTTTGCAAAGCTATGACTGTGCAGTTTCCCTTTTCTGGTCCCTTCACACCATCCACTCCCCCTCAACACCCTTTACAACCTAGATTCCTGCCTTCAGGTTTCTCCCTCCACTTTCAGGCCCAGCAGGCTTCACTTATTCTTTCAGTCAACCACTGTTGACTCATGTATTCACTGATAACTACTTGAAGACATCAACTCTTACAAACTGTAGCCATTTTTATAAACTATTTATATTGTGGGATTTATCAAGTTCACTTAAGATAGGCACTATCGTAAAGCAATCATGAAACACTGTTTATACTTGTTGACTTCCCTTGTACTGTTTTTAATTTTATGCTAATTATTTGAAAATAGTTTACCATTATGCAGAAGCCATATGTAGAATCATTATGTAGTTTACCATTATGTAAAGTCTCAAGTTCAGATGGCATGGACTCATGGCTTACCCTTCTTTAAGTACCGCCCCATACTTGGTCACTTACAAAGCGTATTAGTACTTGGTAAATATTTTGGGAAGAAGAAATCTAATCAGTGAGTGAAATCAGCCCACTTTTCATGTTCACATCTTCCCACTGTGCCATGAAACAGTCTAACAATAACCATAAGAGGAAAATTACCCATTCGGTCCCTCTCCAGAGACAGGCCGACTTCAAGGTCATTTTGCAAAGAGAAAAATCTGAAGAGTCACAAGATGAAGACGACCCAGAGAATGACTGCGGGGCAAGGCCCAGATGCCAAGTCTCCCTTCTCTGGTCCCTGGTCCTAAACTCTGGAGATCCTGAGTCTGATTTAGTCTGGGGAATACTGTAACCTCACTGGAACACACAAGAAAATCTATTTGTTCTGCTCTCTGCCTCGCTGTGCCCTATATACTCCACTGCAAACCCTGCTAGGCTTCTGTAATAAGTTTTCCCTTATCTAGAATCCAGAAAATCAGAATTACACCCATAGTTCCGTATAATTGTCGTGGCTTTTGAGTATGAATAGAGTCATGATGATCTGCCTGCTTAAGAGTCCAGCTGTGTTTGCTGGAAGAGTGGCCTTCATTTAGCTGGCCCTGCTAGAAAAGGGAGGTCCAATAAAATGTATTGGTAAGAGTCACCTATTTGTCTACTTTCTATTATTTTTTGCCATCATTATTCATGATTTTCCTTTTATAGTTAGTAATTTTAGCTTAATATTACCCTGTCTTGCTGTCTAATCTATGTATCTTCTCATGTCATTAACCTTCTCTTTAACTTTTTTTTTTTTTTTTTTGAGACGGCCTTGCACTCTTGCCCAGGCTGGAGTGCAATGGTGTAATCACGGCTCACTGCAGGCTTGACCTCCCAGGCTCAAGCAATCCTCCCACCTCAGCCTCCTTAGTGGTTGAGACTACAGGTGCACACCATCATGACTGCTAATTTTTCTTTTTATTGTAGAGACAAAATCTCTCTGTGATGGCCAGGCTGGTCTCAAACTCCTGGGCTCAATCTATCCTCCTGCCACAGCCTCCCAAAGTGCATGAGCCAGTGCGCCCAGCCCCCTTTTAACTATGATATTATTGATGTTAATTTTATGTGTCGCTTTCATATCTCTTTCTAGTTCTTATTCTTTGCATATTTTTCTATTTTGACTCGGTATTTTCTATATTTTTATTCTTACATCATTATTTTAAAGTATATTTTTATTATATATAATTACACTCTCAATTTAAATTTTTAAAGTGTTTTTTCTTCTTTATTGTCTTTTTCACTTGTGTATAATTTTTAAGGGTTTCTTTCCACATTTTATTTGGTTCCTAACTTTTGTCATTTCTTATTTTTAATTCATTTTTTTCTTTTTAATAATATTTTTATTCCCTTCTTTTCATTCTCCTTTTTACCTGAGCCCTTTATCTACTTGATTCAGTCCATTTCCCCTTTTCATTCTTAGCATTGGTTCTCTTCACAATTTCCTTGTGCCTGTTGAAGTGACAGCAGGTGAGGTGTGCATCCTTGGTAGGAGTAAAAACCCCCTGGTCTGGGACACAGGTGCTGCTCCTGGACTCAAATACAACACTCATTTCCTTCTATGTTCTTCTCCAATAGCTTAAAACTCTCTCTCTCTCCAGAGAATGATCATTTTCCCCATGTAGATGACATCCTTATTTACTGAAATGCTGCCATTTCCTCTATTAGCACACTAGCCAAGGTCTGATACATAGTAGGTACCCAATAACTGCAGTCAAAATCATTTATGAATAAATCCAGTGCCTTGAGAGGAGCTGCCTATACTGATTCATGGTCTTTGACATTGACACCACTAGCACATGGGCTAGGGGAAAGCCTAGGAGAAAGCATCAAGGTAGCAGCAGCTTACCATTCCTGGGCACTTAGTAGGTACCAGGCACTGTGCCAAGCTGTTCAGGTGCATCATCCCATTGAATCCCCACAGCACCCTGTATGGTAGCTACTAATGAGATCACTCCCATTTCACATTTTTAAAGGGGGAAGTGGACAGGGAGGGGCCAGAAAAGCCAAGTAAGTTGTCCAAAGTAACGGAACTATAAGGGGTAGAATGGAGAGTCAAAATTGGCTCTAACTCTAAGAGTGCTCTCGACCAATGCACCCTAGGGTCTCAGGATGGTCTCTGGCTTGACCATGATGAGGACAGTCCTGCTCTAAGATTCTTAACATTTGTCAAGCTTTTAATTTCCCCTGGGAAGGATGAATGTTTTAAAAATGTATTAATATTTATTTATTTATTTTTATTTATAATAAATGTTATTTTGTAGAGCAGTTCTAGTTTACATAAAATTAAGCAAAAACAGACTGGGCACGGTGGCTCATGCCTGTAATCTCAACACTTTTGGAGGCCAAGGCAGGTAGATCACTTAAGGTTAGGAGTTCAAGACCAGCCTGGGCGACACGGTGAAATCGCATCTCTACTAAAAATACAAAAATTAGCCAGGTGTAGTGGCACATGCTTGTAATCCCAGCTACTTGGGAGGCTGACGTGAGAGAACTGCTTGAACCCAGGAGGCAGAGTTTGCAGTAAGTCAAGATCGTGCCACTGCGCTTCAGCCTGGGCAACAGAGCAAGACTCTGTCTCAAAAAAATAAAAATAATAAGCAAAAAGTACAGTGTTTTCCCAACACACCTATACTCCCAACACACACAGTTTCTATTATTAACATCTTGCATTAGTGTGGCACCCTTGTTATGATCGATGAACCAGTATCAATAGACTATTAACTGAGGTTCATTAGTTTACATTAGGGTTTGCTCTGTGTTGTACCATCCTATCAGTTTTGACAAATGCATAATGTCATGTATCCACTGTTAGAGTATGATACCAAATACTTTCACTGCCCTGAGACTCCCCTATGCTCCACCCATTCATTCCTCCCTCCCCCCCACTGGCAACCACTGATCTTTTTATTGTCTCCATAGTTTTCCCTTTTCCAGAATGTTATATATTTGGAAACATACAGTACACAGCCTTTTTGGGCTAACTACTTTTACTTAAGAATTCCTCAGTGCATTTCTGGTTCCAGCATGTCTTTTCATGGCTCAATAGCTTATACTTTTTCTTTTTTTGATACACAGTCTTGCTCTGTTGTCCAGGCTAGAATGCAGTGGTGCAATCATAGCTCACTGCAGCCTTGAACTCCTGTGCTCAAGTAATTCTCTTGCCTCAGTCTCCCAAGTAACTAGGACTACAAGTTCATACCACCAGCCCAGTTAACTTTTTAAAATTTTCGTAGAGATGAAGTCTCACTATTTTGCTCAGGTTGGTCTTAAATTCCTGGCTTGAAGTGATCCTTCATCCTTAGCCTTCCAAAGCACTCAGATTACAGGTGTGAGTCACTGTGCCTAGTCCTTATTTCTTTTTATTGCAGAATAATATTCCATTATCTGGATGTGCCACTGTATGTTTATCTATCTTTCACCTATTGAAGGACATCTTGGTTGCTTCCAAAATTTTTCATTTATTTTAATTTAAAAAAATTTAAACTCAGGTTTCTGAGCTTTAATCATGTCCTAGATTCTTAGTTCTTAACCCTGGAGATTCTACCTCTATGGACTAAGGATAAAACCTGTGACTCTGTGGCTTTAAAAGCTCCCCAGGTGATTCTGACACTCAGTCAGATTTGAAAACCTCTGCTTGGAAGCCTTAGTTTCTCATTTGTTCACATGTGAGATTGGACATGGAATTATTTTCTAAGACAAATATTAGCCTTCTGTGCAGGTATTCCCTTGGCCCATCTCATTTAGAGACAAGTATTTATGTGCCTGACACCTATAAATGTATACATGTGTAATATACCCAATGGCAAGTCCACATGCACACACGCATACCCAGGTCTCCTCCTTTACTGAGAGGCCTCCCATCTTCCCTCCTGGCCACACCCAGCACAAAAAAGTAACATGACCCTGGGAGGTTATCACAGCTTTAGAACATCTAACCAGAGCAAAGGTTTCTAGATTCTGGACTGCATCCCTCTGTGAACAACCAGATCAGAGTCAATTAGACAACACCCCTGCCCCATTCCCTGACTATGCAGGCTGGCCTGCTGGCAGACCCACCTTCTTATACTTGTGGGGGAAGGTGAACCTCTCAATGGTGTTCTGTACAGCTCCCCGAGTCACATTACCCAACCTGTCCTCGAGCTGCAGCAGCTCCTGGAAAGAGAAAAATGTGCACATGTGTGCTCAGCATGTATAAATGCCCACATGCACACAGGATATGGATTGGGGAGCTGGAAGACATGAGCAGGAAGCATTCACATAGCTATCAGGAAGAACTCATCTGATGCTGAAAGACTGCAATATCTCTACTGGTTTTCCCTTCTTCTCTCTCTTACTCTTAACCCTGAAGCTTCCTGACACCCATACCCTACTCACCAGCAGAGGTGGGGAGGGAAAAGGGATGATAAACAATAATGGCATCTCCACCAGCCCAGTTGGTACCAGACAGAGCAACATACCTCATAGCTCTCCCGTACGGCGGAGGTGTGTCTGCTGGGATTTAGTCCCTGGAGAGCAAGGAAGTGAAGCTGAGGATAAGGGTAGTTTCGGATTTCATGGACGACCTGTTGGGGAGAAAATGCCTTGGATAGAGCGAGGATTCAAGGTTTCTCCATAAGCCCAGCATGCAACTTCTCTGCCTGTAACCCACTCAGTACTCCCTGAGATGCTGTGGGCAGAAGTATTGTCTTTCCTGCTCTTACGTCCCTTTTCTCTCACCAAGAACCAAGCTTTGCCTGGACAAGCCCCAGAAGTAATAACAGAATTAATAAAGTGACAACTAACCTTCATGGCAGGCACTATTCTACGCACTTTACATGACTAATTGAATTATCTCACCTAATCTATAATGTGGGTGCTATTACTATCCCCATTTTATTGATGGGGTAAATGAGGTACAATAGATTATGTAATTGGCTCAAGTTATGCAACCAAGGGACAGAACCAGGATTTCAAACCCAGGCAGTTGGGTGGCAGAGTCCATTCCCTTCACCTTTTGTTTTAGTTCATTCTCACGCTGCTATGAAGAAATACCCAAGAATGGGTAATTTACAAAGAAAGGAGGTTTAATTGACTCACAGTTCCACATGGTTGGAGGGCCTCAGGAAACCTACAGTCATGGTGGAAAGCACCTCTTCACAAGGCAGCAGGAGACAGAATGAGGGCCAAGCGAATGGGGAGGTCCCTTATAAAACCGTCAGATCTCATGAGAGCTCACTCACTATCATGAGAAAAGCATGTAGGAAACTGCCCCCACATGATTCAATTATCTCCACCTGGTCCTGCCCTTGACATGTGGGGATTATTACAATTCAAGGTGAGATTTGGGCGGGGATACAGAGCCAAACCATATCACCCCTACTCTGCACTGCCTCCAAGAGCAACTTGATAGTTAAAGGCTTGGGTTAGTGTCGGCACCAAAGTGGGGGCACAAAATTAAAAGGGCCACCAAAAGCCTCAGTAATCAAGATCAATAATATTTCAATGTAATGTTTTTTAAAGTCAAATAAATGCAAAAAACCTCCATGCTGAGCAAAATGTCAGTATTTTAAATTAAGAGAGTCTGACTCTGTTCTTGCATGGCCTGCCTCACTCACCCCTCCCTTACCCTGGCTATGAGTCAGAGAGGAGTTTCCATCACAGCTCCTCCACTTTCTCACTGTATGTCCCAGGGCCAGTTACTTAGCCTCTCTCTTCCTCAGTTTTCCAATCTTTAAAATCAGGATGATACTCTTTTGTGGGAGTTTTTGAGAGGATTAATGGGATAATTTATATGAAGTGCTTATAACAGTGCCTGGCATGTAGTAAGCGCTCAATAAATGTTTGCCTCTTTATTCTTAAGAGATGGCGCTTCATACACAAAGCATGGACCTTCAGAGCTTACAAGGACTCCAAAAATTACTCATGCAAGCTCCTTATTATACAAAAAGCAGACTGAGGAACTGAGTGGTTAGTGACAGAGACAAGGGTTGGAAGGTGGAATTATGCTTTAGGGCAGCAAAGTGAAGCTGCCTGGAAATAAGATTTTCAATCAAGCTTTTGCTGCTTTCATGGAATATCTTCATTTTAATTCCATGCAGCTTGCAATGTCAGGAGCCCAAAGGCCCCCAAGCCCAGCCTGACCCATGATTCAGCACTCTGCAGCCACAAGAAGGTCTGCCCTCTGAAAAAGGCAGAACTGGATCTGCAGGCTAGGCCCAAGAGCTCCTGCTGGGATCTCTTTTGATCCTCACACCAACCCTGTGAGATGGGCGAGGCAGGCATCTTCATTTCCATTTCACAGATTAGTGAAGCCAAAGCCCAGGGAGGTACTGACCACAGGAAACTAAATGAGGCCATATGAGGTGCGAGGTCTACTCTGCCTGATCTTAGCCCTGAGCCTTTTACCCACAGACCACACCTTGCCATGCTGTCCCTTTCCACTCCTCCAGTGCCCACTCCTACTCCCCTCAGCAGAACCAGTTTCTGGTCCAACAGGTCCCCTTTCATTCCCCATCAAGCCAGAGTGCGAATAGGAGCTGGGAAGAGAGGGGAGCTGTTGGTCTGCCAGGGAGCCAGGATACAAGAAGGCCAGGGCACAAGGGAGTCAGGGCATGGGGAGTTGATACACAGGTGAGCTGGGTCATGTGGAAGCCGGGATATAAGGGGGCCAGGGCACAGGGGAGTCAGGGCATAGGGGTTGATACACAGGGGAGCCAGGTCATGTAGGAGCTGGGGCACAGGGGAGCCAGGATATAAGGGGACCAGGGCACAAGGGAGTCAGGGCATAGGGGATTGATACACAGGGAAGCCATGTCATATGGAATCCGGACTGCAGGGCAGCCAGGATATAAGGGGGTCAGAGTACCGAAGAGTCAGGGTATAGGAGCTTAATACACAGGGGAGCTGGGTCATATGGAAGCTGGGGCACAGGGGAGCCAGGATACAAGGGGGCCAGGGCACAGGGGAGTCAGGGGATAGGGGGTTGATACATAGGGGACCTGGGTCATGTAGGAGCCGGGGCACAGGGGAGCGCAGGCCTCAGACCACCACTGGCACTCAATAGGCACAAGGGAGTCCATTTTCTTTCACTTACCATCTGCGTGGAGGAGGAGTTTCTGGGAAAGTGGTGCATTCGAGGAGTCGCTAGGTAATGCTGATAGTGCTGAGGGATGGGCCGCACCTGGAACTGAGCAGGACTCAAGCCAGCGTCCACACTGAGATCCCTGCAGGGAAACAGCCTCAGTGAACCATAGGGTGGTGTGATTTAGCCATCAGGTTACAGAAGGGACCTCAGACATCAAGCCTATGGAGGAGAATCGGAGTGACACCCTGCCAGAGCTGCAAGGGACTTTACGTCTCCCAGCCTTTCCTCTCTCTTTAGAGGGAAGGAAACGGAGACCCAGAGAAGGAAGGGACTCTGCAAGGTCTGAAGGAGCTAGAGCAATCCAGGCTCTATAAGACTTCTTTAAACTAGGGGACCAAAGCTCCCTCCCAAGACAAAGTCCATCTCTGAGAGGAATGCTGAAAGAAAAATCTAAATCGAGCAAGCCAGAGGCACCGAGTGGGAAAGACAAGGTTCAGATAAAAGTGGAGGAGGGAGCCGAGGCTGTATTTTTACCACTTTGAAAAACGAGAGAGACCTCTACACCTAGACCTACAGGCTAGACAGCTTGTCCTAGCCCACTGCATCCCACTCCTAAAAATATAGGAAAATTCATTTTGCTTAAAAACAAATTAATTGATGAATTACACAGAGGATGAACCAATGGCTAATTTGGAAAATGGCCAATTTCAGATCTGGAGAGAAAATGTGCAAGATGAGATGGAAACATCTTGTCATAACTGGAAACAAGAGAGCTATCAAAACACTACTAGGATGATGGCAAAAGGGCTCGGAAGCCGTCCTGAAGAGGCTTCCACTGGCCAGAGTTAGGACAATGTGCAGGTTGACAAGCATAACTGCAGAAGAAATGGAAATAAATAAAAATTGTTTAAATCCGAGCACGTGAAATGATGCTAGAAAACTAGTCCCCTTCAAAGGATGCTGGAGAACAAACTCTTCTTTTCTTTTCTGTTTTTTTTTTCCATTTCTTTTTTTTTTTTTTTTTGAGATGGAGTCTTGCTCTGTCACCCAGGCTGGAGTGCAGTGGTGTGATCTCGGCTCACTGCAACCTCCACCTTCCGGGTTCAAGCAATTCTCCTGCCTCAGCCTCCTGAGTAGCTGGGAGTACAGGCGTGCCACGCCACGCCTGGATAACTTTTGTATTTTTAGTAGAGATGGGGGTTTCACCATGTTGGCCAGGCTGGTCTCGATCTCCTAACTTCAAGTGACCCACCCACCTATCTCGGGGTCCCAAAGTGCTGAGATTACAGGCATGAGCCACTGCACCCAGCCAACTCTTCATTTTGAAAACTAGTAAATAAATGAAAAGAAGCCTTTATTTTCTTACTGTATTTCCAGGTAATCAAACATTTGATGAGTGGAAATTTCTGTTTATAAAAGTTTTTCAGCTAATAAATGATTAAGGGATGACTGAATTTTTGTTGAATTTTTGTCACTATTTTGCCTCCCCTAAAGAAATAAAGGATCTAAGCAAAGATCATTGATTGTTGCTAACATCACAAAAGAAGCAACAACCAGACAGTAAGTGCTTTCTGGTGGAAGAATACAATATCACCTATGAAGTATTTTTGCCAAGAAATAAGAGTTGAACCTGAATCTACCGAAGCCTTAATCCTGGTGCCAAGGTCCAGAGAATACAAGAAACTAAGGAACATCTTAAGTGACAACACCAGAATGCAACCAGCAAAATCCAGATAAGAGGAAACTATAGGAAAAACAGTCTGATTTCTTCAACAAACACATTGGAGGAAAAAAAAAAAAGGATATGGAGGAAAATTAAAGGAATTGCTGCTTCTACTGATGATAGTTTAACAGGAGTTAAATGTACCTTTCCACTTTAAACCCCTAGAAAGCTGAATGGAATATATGAAATCTCTGTTTTCAGACATTATATGACAAGCAATGTAGACTGCTATCAACAGAAGGACAACACATGAGGTGAGCCCTGCAACCTCCCTAGTTTTTTTCATGAAGGCATATTCCAGACCATGAGCAGGGAGAGAACTAAGAAGAGCATGATAATCTTAATGAGTTGAGGATTCAGATATCTTATTTCCAGGAGACTGAGGTCTCTGAAAGTTGTGGTGCCATGATTTGGAGAGAAGAGGCAGCTAGGCAGAAGGAGAGCTCCAGAAATCTGCACGGAGATCCCCTTGAGTCTTTACTGAATACTAAGATCTGCATACATGGGGTGAAATTTTACCAGGTTGACCAAAGAGCATCCAAGGTATAGTGGGTTCCCAGAGATTAGACAGTGCTGGGAAAGATTCATATTCCAGTCAGCCAGAGCAGAGAGTACTTGGACACACAATAGAGACCCCAGAAGAGCCTTTCGAGACTTATTTATGTGTCTTATTAGGGCAGATCTAGAGTAGTCTCTTCTCTAGGGGTACTCCAGTCCTGCTGGAAGAAGACTTAAAAGTAAGCCTCAAAAGGATGAAACTGAACTACAAGTGTTGCTTACCAGAACGAAGCCTAACACTCTAAATGAATAAAACAAACGTAACTACTTAACAATGTATAATCCACAATTATTCATAAATGATGTTTGTCATTCAATAAAAAATTACTAGACATGCCAAAAAATGATAATATATCCCAGAATCAGGTGAAAAATCAATCCATTGAAATAACTATGAAACAGAAATAACAAGGATGCTAAAATAGCTATTATAATCATATTCAAACATACAAAAGAAAGCATAAAAACAGAGAAAAGTAAAACATATAGAAGAGGACATATTTTAATGATGTCAGTGGAACTTCTAGAGATGAAAAATCCAGTGTCTGAAATAGAAAATTCACTGGGTTAGATTAACAGTAGATTAGACACTACAAAAGAAAAGATTCGTGACTTTAAGACATAACAACAACAGTAATCCAAAATGAGCCAGGCGCAGTGGCTCATGCCTCTAATCCCAGCAATTTGGGAGGCCAAGGCAGGAGGATCACTTTAGCCCAGAAGTTTGAGGCCAGCCTGGGCAACATAGTGGGACACCACGTCTACCAAAAAAAAAAAAAAAAAAAGGTGTAAATTAGCTGAGTATAGTGGTGTGTCCTCTGGTCCCAGCTACTCAGGAGGCTGAGGTGGAAGGATCACTTGAGCCCAGGAAGTTGAGGCTACAATGAGCTGTGATGCCACTACTGCACTTCTGCCTAGGTGACAGAATGAACTCTTGAATAATAAGAAGAATAATAATAATCCAAAATGAAGCACACCATCAGAAAAAGACGAAAAAATTAACAGAGTCTCAGTAAAAATATCAAGCAGTCAGCCATATCGGTAAGTAAAGACTCAAAAAGAGAGGATGGAGGGTAGATGACAGAAAAAATATTTTAGGGAAAAAATGGCTTAAATATTTCCAAATTTAATAAAAACTATAAATTCACAGATCCAAAAAGTTCAATAAACTTTAAGCAGGATAACACAAAGAAAACCACTCCAAGGGACATAATAATCTAATTCCTGAAAAATAGTAATAAAGACAGGATCTTAAAAGTAGTGAAAGAACAAAAGACCCATTTGACATAGAAGAACGTAGGTAAGAACGATCGTAGACTTCCCATCGACAACAAAGCAAGTCAGAAGACAAAGGAATGGCATCTTTGCACTGCTGAAGGGAAAAAAACTGCAAACTTAGAAATATATACCTAGCAAAAGTATATTTTTAAATGAGAGTGAAATAAAGACGTTTTCAAAAAGTTGAGAGAGTGCACTGCCAGGAGACTGTTACTACAAGAAATGTTTTAAAAACTTCTTCATGCTAAAGAAAACTAACACCAGGCAGAAACTTAGATCTCTACAAAGGAATAAAGAGTGCCAGAAATGATAATTATGTGGGACATATAAAAAATTGTTTTCCTATTAAAAATTGTCTGTAAAGGTTGACAGTTTAAAGCAGAGACTGGCAAACATTTTTCTGTAAAGGATCATAAATAGTAACTATTTGGGGCTTCAAAAGTCATACAGTCTCTGTCACAACTACTCAAGCATCCACTGTAGTGCAAAAGCAGCCATAAACAATAGGTGAACAAATAGATGTGTCTGTGTTCCAATAAAACTTTATTTACAAGAACAGAGAGCAGGCAAGATTTGATTCACAGGCCATAATTTGCCAACCACTGGTTTAAGCAAAAATGATAACAATGTATTTTGGTGATTATGCATACATAGAGATAAAACCTACCAAATGAGTAGCAAAGGATGGGAAGGGGTAATGGAAGTATACTGTCGTAAGAGTTTTGCATTACACGCAAAATGGTATAATTCTATTTTAGGGTGTGATATGCTAAATAGGCATATTGTAAACCTAGTGAATTCCCAAAATAAAATAAAATAAAGTGGTATGACTCTTAAACCAATATTTAATATTAAAAATTCTCAACTGATCCAAAAGAAGGCAAAAAACAGACAAAACTTTTAAAAGAAAAACAATGAAATGACAACAACAACAAAACTGATGGAAGAAAAAGAAAACAAATAGCAAGATGGCAGATTTAATTCCAACCATGTAGACAATTGCATTAAATGCAAATGGTCTAAACACCCCAGTTAACAGACAGAGATTGTCAACTGCAAAACAATCACCAACTACATGCTGTCCATTCAAGATATAAAGATGTAGATACTAGGTTAAAAGTAAAAGGAGGAAAGAGATACACCCTGTAAGCGTTAACTGGAAGAAAGCTGGAATGGCTATGTTAATATCAGACAAGGTAGACTTTGAACCAAGGGATATTACCAAAGATAAGGAAGGATGTTTCATAATGATAAAGGGGTCAATTCGTCTTGAAAAATGACAATCCTTTTAATATCCTGATATATATAAGTCAAAATAAGTGAAGCAAAAACTGACAGAACTGAAAAAACAAATTCATAATTAGAGTTGTAGACATCCACCCTCCTCCTTTATAATTCATGGAATAATTCATGAAAAAAAAATCAGTAAGAATATAAAAGACCTGAACAATACTATCGACCAACTTGATCTAACTGAAATTTACAGAATACTCTATCCAATAAGAGTAGAATATACGCTTTTTAAAAATACATATAGAACATTTACTAAGATAGAATAAATGCTGGACCATAAAACAAGT